CATTCCTGCAATTAAAAAGCACATACAAAACAGTAGGCGATGCAGTGTTAACATTCACACACATTTTGCTCTAATTATTTGGCACTTAAGAAAAAGAATAAAAACTGAAGAAGAAGCAGCCAGACACATGCAAGCGGCATTTTGTTTAAATTATTTAGCTCTGGATACAGAATATAATGTAGCTATCATTTTAAACAGAAATCAGCTGCAAATATTTCACTCTATATGATTTTTCTGGCCTGACTTTTGAGGAAGCAAAATTGTTTCTGAACAATTATCTGACACATTACACATTCTGCAATGCCAAGTCTTGAGACAGGATTGCTGCATCAGAAAAAGAGATTGATTAAGGTTGCATGACAGAGAATAGGTTGGTAATGGTGAAATGAGTCCAAAATTAACTTTGGAGAAGGCATGGTCTTCTCTAGCCTGCAAATGACTTTTTCCATTAATAACAAATACTAATCTAAAATCCAGCAAAGTAACAAACACTCCCATGCAAAAAGCTGAAAATGCAGAAGCAACAGCATAAAATAACCTTCTATTGATCTCCTCAGGCTGTGATCAAGTTAAAATGTTTAAGTTTCCCTTGAGATGCAGAGGGAGGGATTGTTGCTGAAAAGAGCAGTCTAGGCAGCAAAACAAGTTCTAGGTATGCTACTCTACAGAACTGCCATGATGGGAACAATAACATTCTGTCAGAAACAAAAGGTGTTATTACAAAAGAGTGAAAGTCTCTGCTTGATACACTGTATGTTATTTAATATCGTCATGCAGAACAAAACGACTGAAACATTTTTAATGCATTCACAGCTGGGTAACAAATAAAACTCTATCTTGTGCATGCTAGGAGTGGAGGGTCCTCAGAGAAGGAACAGAAGCCAAAACAAAACAAAACAAAAAAAGATTTACAGTGACCATTCCTGGGAACTTACTCAGAGTCTTTGTTCCATAACCGTCGTCACCTAATCCGGGGATGTCCTGCACGGAAGTCCCCAGAGAGAGCAATGAGAAAGGAAGAACAGCCGCAGAAGAGGAAGGAAGAAGTCAGTGGAGTTGAAATGGATACTACCATGACTGACCATGTTGATTGAGCAATCTGGATCCCTGCTTTTTCTTTCTGAAACAACTTTAAACCCATTTTCTATAGGAATGCAGCCAATGAAAGAGACAGTGACCGTTATACATGGCTTTTGGAGCTGTGAGGAAGAAGGAACAACCCAATAAATAAAATCCCAGAAATGATCCTCGCCAGATAAATTTAGGAGAGAACTATTAAGAAAAAAAGGGAATATCTGGGCTTGGAGGCAGCATATATTTTTAATAATGCTGGTTTTCTGTACAATTTCAGCAAGCAGTAAATGCCCAGGGAGGTACACATTCCAAGATCCGATTTACTTCTTTAAGCTGTTAGCGTGAATGCTTCATTTAACCATTAAACTTTCAGTGAAGCTGCCCATGGCAATCAAGATGGAGAATGTCAAAGGCAAATAAGAGATTAGAGAAGACCTCTTAGAAAGTAATGATTTAGTTCACTATTGTGAAAGAAATCACATTTGCATTATTTTGAGCCAGTTCTGATCTGGGAATATTTAATCGGAGTCAAGTTTGGATTTATGACAGGTGCCACAACAACTTTGAGGAGTCCCGTTTGCTCTTCCAAAAGTTAAGGTCACTGTTTTACTCTTCTGAAAATTATGTTTCCAGGGAAGGAAGGACAAGCTGGATCCAAATTGCAGTCACACATTGGTCACAGTAGTAATACCTCTCCTGCCTGCCTACGACAGATATTTGCCTAGATGTGTGGGGTACTGGTATCATGCGTGTCACCCATTTTTTGTGCTGCTGCATGTGACATCGTCTCCAAGAGGTTACTTACGTTCTGGATCACTTGTTTCCTGCTCACTCTGCTCCTTGCTCTTGTAGAATGGGAATTTTCGTGAAAAGATGAAGTTCTTTTTACGCTTGTCATTGAATGACTGTGAAGGAGAAAAGGCATGGGGCAAAAACAGGGACGTCTAATTGTTGTCACACTCATGCTGACAAAACAACTAGTTTGTAAAAGTGGAGAGAACTGTAGTGACTCAAATCAGTCCAAACCAAGCGGCTGCCAAGGATCAGAGGTGGTTGCGGTGAGGTCTGCAGGTTGAAGGCAAAGACCCTGGAGACTGGATCGATTTGATTACAGAGGTCTCAAATCACAGCCTTCAGCTCCTTGTTTGGAAACTATCGTGTTTGGCTTGTTCAGATAAAGGGCTACAGATGGCTCAGCATGCTTTGAGATCAAGCCACTCATCTTTAATCATAGCAGATTGTGCACAGAATTAATTAACTGGCTGAAAAAGAATAGGCTGTGAAGAGGAAAGTAGAAGCCTTTGATTTACTTGTAGTAGGTATGTGAATTCAGCTCTGTGCCAATTAAAATATTTTTTTCTGCTGCTGATTTCATAGTGTTTTATTTGGCCTCTTAATCGATGACAACTTAAGTGTTTTTTAATGCTTTTTTCCATAATTGAAGAAAATGTAGTTTTGTTTATTTTATACGTGTGTATTATCCAGGTTCCTCTGGATATGCTTTTAGTTTTATGTGATTTAGAGATGGAATTCTGCTGATAAGCAGCATTTCGTTGCATGTTGAGCAACATATATTGCTTTATTTCTTCAAATAGGGAAATAATATGGAAGGAATTGTTTTTTTTACATGATAAAACCTTTGACTTTATAGAGAGTCACAAGGGCTCATGGCACTGTACTATGTAAAAGCAGGATATGCCAACTTGGGACATCTATTTCAGATACTAAATGAGGAATCAGGGTCCCTATATGGTCAATTGAGAGAAGCTACGCTGAGCTGAAGTGATCTGTGTTGTCCATGAGATCACGTCCTACACTGTTTCCTATACTGAACATGTACAATGCCCAGACACACGACTTTGCAAGTGACCACCTCCAAGAGAGCACAGACCTTCTTAACTCGTTTAAAGGACCAATTTAATGTGTTTGTCATTGCTCAAATGAAATATAACGAGTACTGGGCTCCAATTCTGAAATGGAATAGATCTAGAGTTTCAGAACATAATTCATCTCCTTACATTTTGGAAGCACAGCATAAAATGTGGCTTAGAATACGTATTTCCGAAACATGTGAAGTTAGGTACTGAAAATGTCTATTAAAATAGTTGTCTACTTGTGTCACGAAAGTTTCATGCCACTTTTACATTTCAAGCATATTTAAAGTTCAGTAACTGAAAACAAAGGAAAAAAATGCACATGTGGAATAAATGATCCATGAATATCTTTCAGAGTATGTAAACATTCAATGTGAAAGTAATGTGGAGGTCATGCACAAATAATCCAGACAGCATGCAATTTCAAAACAAAGCAAATATGAAAGAAAGCCAGAGTAAAAAAAAAAATGCTCATGAAGGATTAAAGTAATCTGTGGATGAAAAGAGGACTAACATGCACATTACATCACTTTAATGACCTAAAGGATATAATTAAATTATAATGTGCTTTCTGTGATCATTTATTTTTTCCAAAGGAAGGAATGTAGCATGTTAACATTTCCCATTTTGAAAATGTTGTTTGTCACGATTCATCTGAATTTAACATAGTACCACTATAGGTATTACACTTTAAAAGGGAAACAATATATATATGTAATAGCACCTCAGAAAAAAAAAGGTGTTTTAAAATGACAATCACTTCATTACTAAATGCCATTTCACTTTGGAATTAAAGAGAAAGTTATCAAATTGATAAATAAATAAATATGCTGTGTTTCACAGAGAATATACGAAAATAACATGTATAAGTATTCTTTTTCAATTTTTTCCCCAACAGTTTAGAGCAAAAAATTCAGAAAGTCCGTTTTCATGAGAAAAGCATATATTTTTTTCAAGCTTATACATAATCTAACAGTGTATTCCAAATTAGAAAGCTATACTACAGTGTTATATAAACTTCTTCTCCTTTTGCAATTTCAAGTATTAGATTGTCTTTTTCATAAGATAGTGTTCCACTTCAATTTGGACAATCAAAATCTAGCAATTCATAGCAGGTGACTATTATGTCCAACTGTGTCACTACGTTTACACCAGTAAAAGCCTTGTTCCTAAAATAAAGCTGACTCTTAGTGTATCAATATCCATAAGAAAATATGTTTATGCATGTGTTAATATTTCTATAGATTAATCAATGTCTATATTCATGTTATTGACCATACATACTATCACAGTGTAGTCATATTTAAAATAACAAAAAACCTGTAAAATATTATCAAAGACTAAACTGGGTCTGGTCTTGCAAACTTATAGAAATAATCATAGATTCACGGAATCATAGAATGGTTTGGTTTGGCAGGGACCTTAAAGATGATCTAGTCCCCCCCCCCCTGCCATGGGCAGGGACACCTTCCACTAGACCAGGTTGCTCAAAGCCCCGTCCAGCCTGGCCTTGAACACTTCCAGGGGTGGGGCATCCACAACTTCTCTGGGCAGCCTGTTCCAGGGCCTCACCACCTTCATAGTGAAGAATTTCTTCCCTATTTCTAATCTAAATCTACCCTCTTTCAGTTTAAAGCCGTTATCCCTTGTCCTATCACTATATGCCCTTTTAAAAAGTCCCTCTCCAGCTTTCTTGTAGGCTCTCTTCAGGTACTGGAAGGCTGCTATAAGGTCTTCCTGGAATTAGTCCTTGGTATTAACTGAATGGGCTTACCAAGTATTTATTTTCTTGTACATTAAGTGCATGTTGCTTCGCAAGAAACCAAAGATGAGCCTTGATTTTGGTTTTGTATCCAATATAAATATGACTAAAATCAGGCTGGTGATCTTCACCTTAAGGACATGAAATCCGGCAGATATTTGGCAAAATGCTTCTTGCAGATACCATGATATATATCTCTAATGTATAGAGATGGGGGGCTGGCAAAGAGAGGAGAGGGAAACGCCTACAGAACAAAACCATGTTTTTATTAGGCACAGTGTGTTAATTCCAGATTTTGTTCTGTTGGTGGAGGAATAGAGACCAACACTGAATACATATTTTCTTTTTTTAAGAAAGGATCATGCATGTGAGGAATGGTGGTAGGGTTAAACTACAAAGTTCAGATGTATGTTTTTAAGATATTTTATGTCTATAAAATGGAAAATTTGAGACCTGTCAAATATTCTGGAGCCAATTTTCACAGGGTCTCCCTATGCTGCTGGAGAGCTGTGAAATAGCCGTAGGATAAATGAGAGGTATTTGCCAACATCTCTCAGCCCAATGCAAAAGTTGCATGCAAATGGAATTGAAATTTTGATATCAAGCTTAGGCTCGATTCAACAATATTTATGCAGGCACAGTTTCTGAAAGTCAGTGAAAAAGTGCTGGAAAATGGATTCTTGTATAAGTTGCAATTTCTTTGCACCAATATTGTAAAAATCTGTAGTAGCAAATAACTTGGGCATTTCAGTCTCAGTGAAAAACTGTACAATAAATAGCTTTTATACCTCACTGCCATCGGTTCACACAGACTACCACTAACCTGAGAACTGGCATTAGTAGGCACTTTGTATAGACAAATGTCTAAGACTCAAGCAAATGAAATTTTCAAATACTGTTTGACAACTGAACGGCGAGGTCATTCTTCGCAACATTTGAACTGCGATGAAAAAAAGTCTTTTCTCAGAAAAAGGGGAGAAAAGCTTTCACCCACGTCCTGGCTTGAATTCTTCTTTGATAGTACTCAGGCATAGATTGTGTTTTGAAGAAGCCAGAAAAAAATTATGATGTGCCCTCTTGCTTGACCAAATATCCCCAGATGTCCCCAGTTATGTAAGTCTGGCTTACACATACCAACCTTTCCTGGTTGTGACAGACATTAAAGCACTGTGTGTTTCTTCTTAAGAGCTCCCTTTGGTATTTTTTTGTGCCAACATAATTTCTGTATTCAAATTCTTTTCCCTTGGTGCACTAGCCGTATATATAATGTTATTCATCAGGTAGTTGGATAGTGGTTTTTTTAAAGAGATTTTCATGTAACACTGAAAAAACGATCATTTCAAAATTTGCTTTATAGCGGTAAACATCACAAAGAATAGTGCATTAGTAATTTGATAGTTGTACCATACTGCAGTAGGCAACTATATTATTGTTTACTTTGAGCTTCTTCCCAATTTTTTTTCACAACGTAGCTGATCCAGCCCATACTGTTTAGTGCAGATGTGCTCTTGATAGAGGTTGTCCTCATTCCGTTTTCCAGAAGAGCCTAATATGTTGGGGAAAGATTTCTTCTGATGCTCTAAAAACTCTAAAAGCAACTATATCTTCTAAAAGCCACTAAACTCCCAAATACATTGGGAATGCTTTATTTTGCTATTTCATTCACCCAATGCTAATCCCGTCATGAGCTGGGAACAAGTGTTCAGCGATCATATGAGACAAAGCTGTTCCAGAGCACTGGCTGTGAAATTCTTTAATACAGGTTGTAGATGAAGTTCATTTGCCACCTATTTTTAGGCAGGTTTGAGGTAAGCTTTAGCCTAGTTTTTACATTATATGATTATCTATGTCAGTTGTCTTCTGAGACTGGTCTAGCAGTGCATATGAGAAGTTAATTCATGTTACTGCTTCTCATCTGCCTCTTTTTTTTATTTTTCTCCTTTAATACCTTTTTTTGGCCTAAATTACATGGAAATCTCTCACTTATACAGCATTCTACAAAAATGTACAAAATGTATCATCAACATTACGTCCCCGTAATCCTTTCCTCTGTATTTAATTCACACTTTTTTTTTACTAGGGACATTCTTTTACTGTGTTTGAACACTGACGTTAATAAAGCTTTGGGGACTCAAATGCTGTTAAATCTCTCCCATCATACTGAAGAGTTGCACTGGTATCAGAAAGAAAAGTTTTGGACTGTAACAGATACTCAGTGTTATTTCTCCTTTCGGACATATATATCGCCTCTCTGCTTTTATACTGGGCT